ACTGAAATTTGCTAAGACAGCAGTTCTTAAATGTTCTCACCAAAAAAAAAAAAAAAGATAAATATATGAGGGGATGGATGTGTTAATTAACTAGATGAGGGGAATCCCTTCTCAGTGCATATGTATATCAAATCACCATGATATACAATTTAAATATCTTAACAATTTTATATGTAATTATACCTCAATAAAGCTGAAATAAAACAAATAATTAACTAACTAACTAAATCATAAAAGCAGCCAGAGAAAAAACACATTACTTCAATGGAGTAACAATAAGACTAGCAACTGACTTTACAACCGAAACAATGGAAACCATGAAACAATGGAATAACATCTTTTAAAAATTGAAACTCCAACCTATTATTCTATGCCAAGCAAATAAATCCTTCAAAAATGAAAGAGAAATAAAGACTTTTGGAAGACGTAATCAAGAGGACATGACTGTCGGTTTACCCTCGAGCTAAACGCAGGCAATCCCCTGTCCTTGGAATATAAGCTCTGCCTACTGTTCCCACACTAGGAGCTGTTTCAAGGATGCAGCCTTGAGAGAGTAAGGTGTTGCTGAGACCACCTGGACAGTTAAGATCTCTATATAAATTTTTAAGATTTGGCAGGTGGGTACAGAGATCTACTCAACTTGCAGTCACCCAAGACAAGTCTTGTATGTAAGTTCCCTTGCTCATTAAACCTGCCACCTACCAATCTGGAGTGGCATGCCTCTTCAGTCTCTCCCTGCCCTGTGTGTCTGGGGGCCAGTTTCAGATTACACCCGGGAAGCTCCTGAGGCTATAAACTAACAAGGCATTTTCAGATGAACCAAAACTGGGAATACTTGTTCCAGCAGACTTGCACCAAGAGGCAGAAAAAAATACTCCCAGAAAGAAGCCTAGAAATTTATGAAGACATGAAGGACTAGGAAAAGTATCAATATGCGGATAACTCTAAATGAATACTGACTTCATGTAACACATGCATTATAACATATAATATATAAACAACAATAACAATGTCTTACTGTCATGTGTTTTAGTTCTACATCTATTTTATACCTCACAATATCAAAAATGATGATGATAAGAGATATTCTAAGGCCACTGTATTCATTATCTGGGCAATGGTCAAAGTACTAACTTATATTAAACTTCAAAAAAATCAACAAAGAATATTTTCATCTCTGGGAAAACCATTAAAAGAAGAGTAGAAAAAGAAAAGCCATCACAACAGATAAATTGGATTTTTTTTTAATTGAAGATTCCAAAGCAGGCAAGAAAAGGAGAAAAATGGAAACAAAGAAGAGATAGGTTAAACAGAAAATAAACAGTAAGATGATAAAATTAATATCAGTTACACTAAATAAAAATGGACTGAATATTCAATATTCTGAATATTCAAGACAAAGATTATCACACTATATATTTTTTTAAAAAATGACATATTTGGTATCTACAAGACACACGGATAAGACATAACAAGTGAGAAACACTGAAAATAAAAAAATAGAAAAAGATACACCATGAAAATACTAACTGAAAGAAAGCTGATAGAGCTAAATTAATAACAGAAAGAAAAACACTTTAAGACAAGAATCATTACTAAGATAAAGAGATGTAATTTATAATGATATAAGAGTCAATCTATCAGAAAGATATTAGAATTCCAAGATTGTATGCATCTCATATTATAGCTTCAAATTATCAACATCTAAATGAATGAAATGACTAGAACTCATTTCAATGATGATTGAGCACCTACTGAACATTCATTTTGCTTCAGATCCTTGGAATATTTGGGTGTATATAAATTATAAAATATTTTCTCGAGGTTTAGTTATAATTCTGGTCCTAGAATTTAGCTTTATTCTAGTAAATTTAAGTAGGTTAGAAACACCAACAATAAACATTCTATTTTTATGAATTTAAATTAATCAAACAAAATTGTCTTTCCTTATATTGCACAACATTATGCATACCTCTCTACATACCTAACTTGAAAATATATGAATCACTTCATTCATTCGGAGGCTATATCCTAAACAAGGTTAAAATATACTGGATTCCTCAAGAGGATGTTAAACGATCTTGGAAATATAACATAACCTCTTTGGGTTTCAATTTCATTATCTCTGACGTGAAGGTAATTATAAAAGCATCCTACTTAATAAAACAAGGATACTATAAGACTTGGTCTATGACAACAATTCCTGCTCAGCACTATTAGTAAAATAACTGTGTCAGGTCCTTAGAACTATTTATAATTTACTGCTTATTACCAAAATAGTTATATTACAACCAGTATGATCTAGCTAATTATTTGATTTTCATTTGGTAATGCTAAACTAACATATATTATTATGATTTTCAAAAAAATCATTGCTTCTACAATTGATTGCTCTAAGGAAAACTTGGTTTGAATTTTCAAAACCCAACTTATACTCATTTTTTTATATTTTATCCCTAAATTTTTAACCTCTTAATAAACTTTTACTATGCTGCTAGTCTTTTGTCAACATTCAGTATGTATGTAAATATATACATATTTCTAAGTATTCAAATATTATCATCTATAATCAGTTTTTCCATTTAAAAAAAAGTGATTGCTTCTCTAATTGGTAGTAGTTTTACCAGTTTCTGTCTTTCATTTGGAAAGGGAAATCAGTTTATAATTTCAAATGTCTTAATCATTCAGTTAAATAATACTATTATATTCCTTTTTTTTTTTTCCTGCTGAGGAAGATTAGCCCTGAGCTAACATCTGTCCCAATCTTCCTCTATTTTGTATGTGGGTCACTGCAACAGCATGGCTTGCCCAGTGGTGTAGGTCCGTGCCCGGGATCCGAACCCATGAAACTGGGCTGCAGAAGTGGAGCAAGTGGAACTTGAACCACTGGGCCACGGGGCCAGCCCTCATTATATTCTTATTTGAGTATTGGAATTTCTTTAGTTGTTCATCAGTCTCCCAGTAATACTGTTAGGAAGTCTATGAAATTTTCATAAAAATTAATAGGCCAAAGAAAAATTGTTCCCTCCCTCTGAGAGTTTTAACTAAAATCAAATGTAATATAAATTGAATGTCTGTTATATACCAAGTACTTTTACATGTGTTATCTCATTTAATCTCATTCTTATTCACATTTTTCAGAAGAGGACACTGCAATTCAGAAAGGTTAAATGATGTGTCAAAGGTTATACAGATAATAAGAAAAGCCAGGTTTTGATCCTAGGTGTGTCTGTTTACAAAGCCAAGATCATTCCACTACCAACGGTTGGCAAATTCAATATAAAAAGCAGATAGTTCATATTTTAGGCTTTCCAGGCCATATGTCTCTGTCACAACTACTCAACTCTGCTGTTGTGCACAAAAGCAACTGTAGACAATATATACACAAATGAGAGTCACTGTGCTTCAGTAAACCTTTACTAACAAAAACAGGTGCAGGGTCAAATTTAACCCAAGGCCCATAGTTTGCCAATTCCTCCACTATACTACAATGCGGTCCCTCCTAGAGAATCTCTACTACCTTTTCATTAACCAATAAATTTTCTCTCTCTTTCACTTTTTAAAAAATTATGATCTTAATCTTACTGGGAAATTTTATTTTAATGCTTTTCTTATTAGCTCAATTATTTGAAACAGGTTACTCTTAGGTAAATATGTACAACCTTTTACATATTCTAACTATAATACCAATTATATCAGAAATTAATCTATATTTAATTTTAATTGCTTAAAATTAATATCTAACTAAAATTAATATCTAATAAGCATAATCACCACAAGGCAGTGAAGCAAATATTCTCTTTTAATTATATAAAATGATGTGTACAAAAAAAGATCTAAATACACAGAACTTAAAGACCTTCTCACATTTGCTTCCTTATTCCAAAATTTAATTGTATGTACCACCACTGAACTTGTTATTTTTAATATAAAAGATTTAAACACTATAAAATGATATAAATAGGAATGAAAAATTCTCTTTCTCCATCAGGGATTCTATTCTTTCCTCCTCTCTCCTTCCCTACTTTGCTTTTTCACACGCACATTTGCACACTTATGCCTGCTCTCTTTCTCTGTCTCACACACACATACACACGTGAGCACACACACAGGGTATTTTAAAAACAATCCAAGTCCAAATAACACACAAGATCAGGCTCAAATACCAGCCCTATATGTAAAACAAAAGATAAGATTCAGACACAAGATCAATTCAAATACCAGCCCTACAACTAAAACCAGTTGAATAATTACTTCCCAGCTTTGTGCTTCCAGTAACTACTTATTTAACCTCTATTAGTCTGTTTCCTCATCTATAAAAATGGGGAAAAAAACTGTACCCACTTCATGCAGTTGTTGTGAGCATTAAAGTGAAAATTAAAATGACACACCCACAGCATAGTGTTGATACATAGTTAAGGACTTAAAACGTCTAGTTGCTGCACATCACCACTACCATCACCATTTTGGGCAACTCTTATTAACATCTACTGCAGTTCCTCCACAAAACAGGAAAAGCATTGTCTCAAATGGTATATATAACAACAACCCTTTAAAGCATCCTGCAAATTCTTCTTATCATTATTGTTAAAAGTCAGGGAGAAAAAAGTTCTTTTTCACAAGAATTTAACATGCCTTTGAGAACTTTTACAAAATCAATGTCTATTTTCATTCCTGAAAAGAAACAAAAAGTTAACATGTTTCCCTTTGTTCTTCATTATTGTAGATATTTTTAAACCAAAACATATAAATTGAAAGATCTAATATGTTGCTTTTCAAAGAAAGTCACTTAACACTAACAAATAATCATAAATGGATTTGGTTAAAAGGGAACATCAGATTAGAGTCTACTTTCTCAATCCCAATATATTTTAAAATTCACCAATTTGGGGGTTTATTTCTGCTATTTTTGTTTTCAATCTCCTGCACTGAAAGGAGCCACATATTAATAACTGTAAGCTACAGCTGCTCTAACATTAGTGGACATAAACGTTTCTTACCAAGTTACGCTTTTTTAGTGGAAGAAAGTAATAATAGTGGCAGAAAGAAAACATCAGTGCGTAGCAAGTAAGAAGTTCAGTGTAGAAACACAACTGCAGAAAAAGCCAATGATTATCTTCACCAACACAATTGTTAATCCTGAAGAAAAAGAATAAAAAAAGAATCAATATTCTAAACTTGAATAAGACATCAACTTCAGGATTGGTAAAACTAAAAGTAAGTACAAACAATTTCATATATGCTTAACTTCATGGAGATATGCTAAAGCCACTCAAACCTAAAAGCAAACGGTGCATGGGAATAGACATAATAAATATGCCATCTCACATTCGTAAAGCACTTTCTACTTTACAAAGGAAGTCCCTGTGTGTGATCCCTGTTCAACTCACAACAACTCAGTGAGACAGGAAGAGCAGATGGCAGTCTCCTTGTTTCACTGATATGGAAACGGGAACAAAGGAGTTAAGACACTTGCCAGAGGATGCACAGTAAGAAGAGACCGCGGCCAAGAGGACAGGAACCCTCTTCCACATATTGTGCTTCCACTACAGCATTCTAGCCATGGAGAGCAATTTGAATGGTGTGAAGTAAAATAACTTAAACCTGCCACTCTGGCTAAGCATCTACAGTTTTTCTGACTTTAAAAATCTATCCTTGGTTGCCAAAAATAAACACATATCCAAAACTACTTATAAATTCTTAGAGCTACACTTCCACCAACACAATAGTGAACCATAACTAGGAAAAAAAGATTAATGTTATAATCCCAAAATTGTCAAGGCTAATGCAAGCTGAATATTCTATTGTTCCAAATTTATTTATTGTACCCAATTTTCAAAATATTTTATAATTGCAGCACAAAATCCTAGTTCAAAACTATAAATTACCTTGCACAAATGTTTTCATTTTAATATAGCGTTATACTGCCACTGTTTGAAAAAAAAAATGATACAATAGGTTCAATTCCTAACTTAAATTATTTTAAAGACGTGTTGTTAAACTATCATTTAAAATCAGATATAGAACTGAACCGAAAATCTTGCCGAGACTGTTCTTAGACTTAGAGTTCATGCTTTGTAAACAAGAAAATGTCCTGTGTTTGGTTATTTGCAAGCAGGGCTATCAGAGAAGCGCGCTTACCTATGCACTCAAAAAATACTCAACAGCGGTTGTTTGAAAGATGACTTATCTCTGTCCCATTCTCCCTGTCCTCCCAAAATTTGAGAAATAGCTGCTATGATCATGGCATTCTTCTTAACCAGAGAGCTTTAAGAAACACTAAGGTACTCAATCTACATGTAAGAGTTCTTTTAGTAACAATTAAACTACTTAGAGAGACTGATCAGAGCCAGCAATAGAGAAAATCTTGAGGTGATCTGAGAACTGACCTCCAAATCTAGACCTGTTAGGCAGTTAGGATAATGCGGTTTCTGAAAATATCAAAAATTCTCCTTGCTTCCAATTTACACTGTACATTTCCCTCACTCTGAATATCTCAGCAATACTCTATTAGGGAATTCAATCTCGCAAATCTCTCAATCTATTCAGGCCCCTGGGCTACCCTCCTTTCCTATCCTGCAACTTTTTCTACTGTCACTCTCCTTGCCACCAATATCTGAAAAGTTGACTAAACCTGTGGAAGCAAGCGGCCTAGAAACAGAGAATTCACCCGAATCTTAGAATTCAGGTTAATGAGCACTTTATTGTGCCACCAAGTTAGTTTTTATTCCTTAAAAATAAGTAAATAATATCACTAATCTCTATGTACCAAAGCATTTCCTAGCTGATTGGTTTTTTCTTTTTTTTTAACTTAAACTATTGCCTTCTTTTAAAAGGAAGCACCAATTACAACAGTATCATGAACATTTACTATATTTTTAGTTAACCAGAAACATGACTCTAAAAAGTGTATAAAATTGAGTTTTTCAGTGTGATTACCACTTATTTGAATACGTTTTACCTAGCTTTTTAAAATCTATTACTATTGTAAACAGATCATGGTGGTTTAGGAAATCACTTGAGAATTAACCTGTTCAGATTCAAGGCACATTTTTTAAACACCAACTATACGTTATACACTATACCATCCTGTTAATGGAATTAGACAATTTTAAACTGTTTTATATAGTAACAAAGCGCTTTTATCTAAAATGCTTTTATTTTTTCCTGATCTCAGGAAATTACCTTCTATTTAAATAACCAGTTTATAGTAAAAATCAAATTTCCACTAAAAGATTGCTAATAATAACTTGTGCTATCAAAAATAAGTAAAACTCTAAATTGATTTGCATTATTAAGCAAAGCTAAACTCTATCCTTTAGTCAACTTTAGATATACGCAGTTATAAATTTAAGAAGCCCGTTATGTAGTTAACTTTGTATACATGCATGCATGTGTGTACAAACATACATATATATGTATATAGATATATTTATAAAGTGCTACATTATACCAGTTTAAATATTTATACAGAGATCTCATGCTAGGAAAACAGAATTAAATACAATATCTTGTTCACAGATTTTTGTGACAGCTTTGAAATGAGATACAATGCAGAATTCTCACAGCATTTGTTTTCAAAAATTCTATTTCTCAACCGAACATTTTCTTTAAATAATACAAGAGTGCCCCCTATTGACCAAAAGTGTTGGTAGTTCAGCAGAATCAGCTAACTACCACTTATACACATTCAGCATGCATGCAACATTAATATGTATATCCAGTACACAATACTGAAAAGGCTTCAAGGGAAAGAAATGAGGTATCAGGGTATCTGAAATGTTTTATTCTTTAATCAAACAAATGGGAAGGAAAATACGAACAATGGGATGTACATGGTTTATTACAGTTAGAAACAATAACCTACTATTTAAGTACTTTTTCTATGTGTCAGATGATATCGAATTCTTTAGTACCTTGCCTCATTTAATACAACCACTTTACTTATTTTGTATTTTTGGGTGCATGTTAATTCTTAGTTTTCTTCTCAAACATCTCCTTGTTAGAAAAGACAGGATCTCTGTGGAAAAATGACTTGGGGAGCTGACAGAACCATATGATCAATAAAGATATCCTTTTAAGAGAGTTTTAAACTGTATAACTTTAATATAACTTTTGCTTAAATCTGCTATGTACTAAGATTTATTTTTCCTACTTTTTTTCCTAAAAGTGAATTATTCATTTCTTACCATGGACAGTGATGATCCATTCTCCTAACACAGTGGCCGCAGCGGCTGCAGTGATGCGAACGCTTTGGTCTCATCAAATTACATTTGTTACATAATTCCCAGAACTCCCTTTCTAGAGAAGGAAATTAAAATCCATTTAATGAAGGCAAATGAGTAATGCTGAAATTCATCAACAACTGTTTAGAAGATTTTATAGGAAGTTTTCAATATATATGTCTATAGATTCTTCCTCTAAGTTTCCAGTGCAAATGTGTTTGCTGCTCTATTCTATGCATATCATACTTTGTATGTTTCTAATTTTAAACAATATAAAAATAAGAAACTATTAATAATGAAACTAAGGGAAAGACAACCAAGTATCTGGGTTATGGCTATATTGCTATAATAATGTAAAACTGAACGACAAAAACCCTAAAGTAGAACCAAGTTATTATATTAAAACAGAATTTTATTTAAACAAATTAATTTCTAGAAATTTTATTTTCTAAAGGTTCTAAAGAAGAAATAATACTGAGTCCTGGTTTCATAGATTAATAAGTCAAAATCAATCCTATAAACTCATTACAAAAACAAGAATGGCATCCCCCCACCCCCAAACCATTTTATTTTTTTAATATCAATGGATTCATTGGGAATATTTATGGGAAAGCATTGGAAAAGAATTTCAGATGGGTTTAGGAGGTATCAGAATAATTTTAGAAGTAAAGAAGATTACAAGAAAATTACTATTTAATGGAAATGAAGTTCTTTACAAAACTCTGTCCTGCCACCAAAGAGGAATTTCCTCTAGCCTGTAGTGAAAGAGCACACAATTAAGTTTCGTGCTAAAAACATGAAGTTTACATAAATAAAGAGAAAAGTCATTTGTTTTCATTATAAATTGTTCTAATCAGATCCATAAAAACTATTTGGGAGAGTCACCTACCAAGAAAAGACAACTGCTTTATTATACAGAATGTACCTTTTTAATATTTGTTGAAATGGAATTTTACTTTTACAAAATTCTTAAACCTTCCATCACTTTATGTTTAAACTACACCCTAAGCTCATTAAAAATATGGGCATAGGGGGCTGGCCCGGTGGCGTAACAGTTAAGTTCAAACGCTCCACTTCAGCGGCCTGGGGATCTCGGGTTAGGATCCCGGGCACGGACCAAAGCACCGCTTGTCTAGCCATGCTGTGGCGGCATCCCACATAAAAGTAGAGGAAGATGGGCACAGACGTTAGCCCAACGCCAATCTTCCTCAGCAAAAAAGAGGAGGATTAGCAACAGATGTTAGCTCAGGGCTAATCTTCCTCAAAAAATATGGGCATAGTAAAAGTAACCTAACTCCTATATTCAGAGTCAATATTAGTATATGCAAAGAGTGGCCCTGGCACACAGTAGGTGGTCACTAAATGCTTGCTAAAGTATGAAAAGTTTAAAATTTTAAAAAACGAAAAATTCTAAATATAAGTAAAGAAGATAATAGCAGGTAGTCTTCAATTTTCTAAAATGATATTCTGTTTTAATCCCATTATTTTAGTTTAATGGCCAGGAGTAAAATCAATATACTGGAATTTTGTATAGTTAAGGTACTGGAAAATATTCTGCTATATGAAGACAACCTGTATCAAATTAATTGTTTTTTCCAATAATACGAAAGTTGGGCAATTATCTTTTACATTTAAAATCTCATTTTAAAATAAAATCCTCTTTCATTTCTTATTTATAAATCTTATTTTAACGAAAACATACAAGAGAGCAACAATATTAAAACTTAATTTAGATAGAGTTAAACCAATATTATTTAACAGCAAGTGAAATGGAAACTCATTCCATTGGTAGCAAAACACAATGTCACAAGCATATCACTTTTTTTCCCCACTTAAATAGTTTCTCCCAAAGATCCCAATGTTAAAACTTTGAATTCACCTACTGCAAGGAATATAGTCAGAAAAGAGACTCTCCTCAATGAGCCAATTTTCATGAAAAGACAACATAAAAACTTTATTTTCTTAAACCAGTCCCTTAAAACATAAATATGGTGTATTCATTATTGGCGATTTCAGGACGTAATATTCTAGAGAATAAATTCTTTATTTCATACTTAAAATGTTGTATCCTCAGAAAAGAAGAGAGCATCTGGCTATAGTCAGAAAAAACCTGTAATTCTGTAGTCTAGACCACAGGTTGGCAAAGTACAGTCTGCAGGCAAATCCAGACCACCACCTGTTTTTGTGTGACCTATGAGCTAAGAATGGTTTTTATAATTTTAAATGATTGAAAATAATAATAATTTGTGGCATGTTAAAATCATAAAATTCAAATTTCAGTGTCCATAAATAAAGTTTTATTTGAACACAGCTATGCCCATTCATTTACGTATTGTCTATGGCTGTTTTTGTGCTACAATGGCAGAGCTAAGGAGTTGTGACAGAGACCATATGGTCCATAAAGCTGAAAATATTTACTATCTGGCCCTTTACAGTAAAGAAGGGTTTGCTGATCTATGGTCTGCACCATAAATTTGTTTAAAGAAAGAGCTTGAGCCATTCCTTCGGCTAAATTTAAGATACCATACAAGTATCTAAAATGAGAAATGCCTAAGAAAACTCACATTTTCGCACACATGCATGACCACAGGCACACTTATGTGTTTAGAGAAGAAAGAAAACACTATTGCAAAAATCTACAAATTTAAACTATCGCCTACGTTTTTGCCTTGTATAGTAAGAAAAAAATCCATCTATCTTAACCTATATCTGTAGGCCATTTCTTGGTCCTTTCACTTTCCTTATTCAGGGTTTATTCATATCCAAACAGGACCTTAGTGACCGATAATTCTGATGTCTGATGATTACCTACAAAACTTTTGTACTGGCCATCCACTAATATAAAATAAAAGCCTATTGGAGAGAGAATCCAATTGCTAATTTATGTTAGCTGTAGAAAAATTAAAAACTAACAGGCACATTTAAAAAAAAGAAAAAGAAAAAGAAAAACATAAATCGAGGAAAAAAGACAAACTCCATAAATGATTGGGGCTGTTCCATGAAAGTAAACAGCATCACACTGTTTAACATGGATCCTTATTAATGCTATATATGCATGAATAAATATAAAGCATGGTTTTGTTTTGTTTATCCCTCAGAAAGGAAGGAATCACCTTCTGTTTGAGTCTTTTTAAAAGACTCGCATATTAGGAGGCCCTCTCTCAATTACGGTATTTCAAATCACAAAGTAAGGTTTTGGGGAGAAAAATAAAACTTGAAACTACCAAAACCAATACAAGGTTTGGGTCTTAATAGAGGTTCCCTGACAGAATCGGTTCTCGAGGTAGGAAATAAATGTCCTTTAGAAAGCAATATAAGAGGGGGGAACAAAAACAAAGCTATGAGTGTATAGGGGACCCTGAGCATTAATAGCACACGCATCCCTACAGCTTGGGATAAAATGTCACGGGACAGTATCAGACAAATTTAACACAAGCTCTATTTTTAAAAACTTGGAAGATTTTGCTCTGCAACAGTGTATCAAAAAGTGGCTCTAGTAATGACAAAAATACTGAAGTCAAACTTGCAAGTTAAGAGCCTGATGATGAAAATGTTCTAAGATTGTGGCGATGGCTGCCCAACTCTGTGAATATACTAAAAGCCACCAAATTGTCCACTTTAAATGGGTGAAATATACAGCATGCGAATTATACTCAACAAAGCTGTTCAAAAAGTTGAGATTGAATAAAATGATTTCATAAAATTTGCAAGTGACAAAAAGTAATATTCCTATATTTCAAACATGGAGTAATTTGAATAATATTAATAGACATTGAATGATTTCATTTGACTATTTCATCTATATACCCAAAAGTTTATAACATCAAATTCTGGGGATCATTGTGTGGGAGAATGGAACATTCTCTTACATTCAAATTACCTCATATTTGGTGGGTCATATAGACACTACATTTACTCTGTTTAAAAAAACAGAAAGGCATGTAAAATATTTAAGAGTAATTCAATAAAAAATGGTTAAAATCATAAAACTATTAGGGCTTAAGTTTCCTTTTCTAAAGAATTCAATTGTATAACACTGCTCAACCTTAAAACAATGGTGAATAAATGTCACTAACATAGACCCAACTCTTTAGTCATGCTATATCATTCTTTACTGTTAAAATTTTATATTTTTTTACTAAGTTAAAACCATATTTACAAAATAATCAGGTATCCAGCACCCGAAATCACACAGTGACTTCAACTTTCCCCGAATCAAAGCAAAGGTGAATAAAGAGCTAAAATTATTAATCTGTATACAGATCCATGGTAAAAAGATGACGGAGACAAGGATCTGGGCCTCATAGCAGCTCTGTAACAACCTGCTGTGTGGCCTATAAAGGACAACCTATGTTCCTGATTACTCAGTCTACCTACCTCACACAATTACCACATGGATCAGATGATATGAGATACCGAGGGACTTCGGAAACATTAAAATGTGATAAACGAATGTATTTTTTTTTCATTTGGGCAAAAGGGAAGTCTTCTGGACTAAGTGAAGCAAAATAGGCCAAATGTCAACTGAGACCAGATATTATGCAGACATCCAAAGAGTCAGCAGGATGCCATGGTACCCTCCATCACTAGAGTCTACAAGCTAAAGGTAACACAGTGGTTTCATGCAGATTCAATTAGCCCCACAGATATAATCTGTTCAGTATTCATTTAAAAACAATGTTTTTAAATTTTTGAATTAGCTGCCAACATTTTTTAAAAATCATGAAATTTCTCATAAAAATTGAGATTCCCTGGTTTCTCTTTAAAAATTGTAAGATCTAAGAATACTGGGCCTGCAAGACAATTTCATTGTAGCTGAGTAGCAGTCACTCTCTTTAGATAAGATATGAGATTTTCAATATGAAATAGTTCCTATCTGGCCCCTTTCACTGATTTGTAGTATCTGACACATGCAGGCATTTGAGTGTTTGACCACTGCAAACTAAAGATTTCATCAGAAATGGGTCCTAAGTTAGGAAAAGTGTGCTGCTTTGATTTTCTGGAAACATTGGGTTTTAGAGTTGAAGTAGACAATACATGTATCAATATTTTACGTAGAGCCTTTGGTTTAGGCCAGTTGAGAAGAGGGATTCTATGCAAATTGCAGAGTGCCACCCTCCCTGCCTAAACACATGTGCACGTGCACTGTCTCTATAAGTTAATAAAAACTAAACACTTAACATAGTTTTCAGAAACTTCTACAGCTATGTAAACATCAGTGTCACATCATTCCCATTTAATCATCAAACTGGCAAGGTCAAGTAAGCCCCTAAATGATGGGTCTCAAAAACAGCAATCAGGAACTCAAAGGAGGCTCTATAAGTGACTTGCCACATAATCTAATTTCAGAAGGAATTACTACATTGGTTCTCAAACTTTGCTACGCATTGAAATCACCTGGGATTATTCAAAAATACTGATGTCTGGCTCCCACCCCCAGAAATTCTGATTTAATTAATATGGGATGCGATCTGGATGTTGAGAGTTTTAAAAGCTCCCCAGGTGATTCTAATGTGCAGCAAGTTTGGAAACCACTGAATTACTATAAAAAGTATTCTGGTTCTATAATGTACAAAAAGATATAAATTTCTTACAAAGAGAGTACAGAGAGTTCTCAAAGCTTACAGAGCAAATGATCAAAAAGTGAAACTCAGGAAAGAGGGTAAATGAGGTTCACTATACCTGACATGTAATAAAACGAGCAACACATTTTCAATGCATTTTTGTGGTCTGAATGGTTACTATACAATAAGGTGATCAAAAATTATCTTCAATTAACACTACAATAAAAAGTTTCAAATTTTTCACTGAATTGTTAGAACTTGTAAAAATATAGGCAATAGTACCATAATTCTACGAACCTTTACTCTAAGCAATATTATATTTATAATATCACGAGGTAAGTGGCACCATCAAAAAAAATTCCTTTATTAAATAAAAATATAATTTCTCAGGTAATTATATATCATTCAACAAATATTTACCCAGCATCTATTAAGTGACAGAGACCATTCTGGGCACTAAGGATACGGCACTGAACGAATGAAGAAAACAAAACAAAAAATCTGCACCTTCACAGAGTTTATATAGGTCTAGAGTGGAGGAGGGAGAAACAAACCAATAAACAAACGGCAAAGGAGAGCCAGGGAGATATGTGCGGGATATGAGCAGTGAGCTGGGATTTGTAATTTTAAATAGAGAAGTCTAGAAAGGAAATATCTGAGAAAAGATTTGAAAGTGGTGTTAGATGACATATATAACGAATATATACTAAAGGCAATAAAATACATTAATAAAGACAATAATTCTGGCACAGTAAAACTAATAAATCTGAAGAATACTATACCTCCATGTGGGATCTTAGGGTTCTCAGGGAGTCTTCCTGGATCAGCTATTGAGGCCCTCACTAAGGCAACCAGACAAAATATGGAAATGCCATAGAATACTTTGAAATAAATAAATAAATAAAATTAGTCATTTACCCTTTAAAACATTTTATCAACAAGCATATGTAAACATTAAATGTATATTTTAACTAATGCCATCAGGATAAATAATTTTTAAAAGATAAAATTAAAAAATTAAATGATTAATTCATTTCACTCAAAACACTGTTAAGAGAACCATCTCAAATGCACTAATTTTAAATATTGTTTTGCATGATAATAACTGATAAACTTGTAATAAATCAGATTCTTTATTAACAGAGATTCCCTATCAATAATGGCATAAATGAATGGCTTCCCTTTTAACTACTACATGTGCTATATTTGAAAGAATCAAAGCAACATTTTTAAACCCATTCTACAACTACACTTTTTCATTAACTCTAACTGGCTATCTTCAAAATTACTTTGAGTTAGTGATGTTCAATTGCTCCTTTCAATAGATCTTAAGATATTTAATTCGAAAATAAAGAATCTAGAAACTTTTGAGTTTTAAAATGAATAACTAGAAAAAACAACAGTAAGGGAAAATAGATTCGTCATAATTCTACCTTTTAAAGGAATAAGAAATAGACATTTTGTTGGGGGGGTGCTGTACCTGTAATAGGAAACTTAGTTCGAGTGCTAACTCCAGGACTGACTACATGGTATTGGTCAGTTTTATCATTTATATTTCCCACAGCTCTTGTGAGGTCAAAATGACATAATGTACATGGAAACCGTAAGTGCCACGTACATGTAAAATACCTCATTTCAATATTATTCTTTTAATCATAAGCAAGCCATCACCAACGAACTACATCAGAAAATAATTATCCAGAAGTTCAAAGTGTTATCATAATCAACATCATAAGCAATAATTTTTGTATCATGAAATTCTCATTTCTCAATAATGTATACCATCTTCATTCTTAAAACTCCTTCTACATTTGCAATAAGTACATAACAGAAACATTAAAAATACACAGACACACATAAATTAGCACCACTGTATCAGTTTTTTTCTTAATAAAAATGGTCTTTATATATTTTGCAGAGTGAGATATGGAGATATCACATTTATCTAACCCTGAAAAATACAGAAAGGCCATGCTTTTTTCAAAACTTTCATAATTTAGTAAATAATATTACTAGCACTAATAATATTAAAAGGAAGGTTATCATAGTGGCACTATACTCCAAAAACATCCAAAATAAGAAAAACCTTTAATTAAATAAGAAATAAAGATCTAGAAACTTACTTATTATTAATATGCCTGGAATATGTCCTTCTTCATAGTGAGGAAAGAGGACAATTTTGGGAATTAAAAAAAAATTGTATAACCAGACAAAGACAATCAAACCCATGCAGCACCAACCATGTGGGTCAACAACAAAGTGAATCCGGAGACCCATTTTGCAGTCCTACAACTGCTGCCAACCCACAAGGAAAGATGATCCTAAGGAGAGGAAAAAAAGAAAACAGGTACTTATATAGAAAAAATTATTTGACTAAAACAAAACTACATGACTGAAAATTATAAAATGACACTTACTGAGTCTTTGTATATTTTTGACAAAATAAAACAAAAAGAGTCAGGATACTCAAATTTCATGATAAGCTTCAAATAATTTAATTTCAATTTTCATTATGAATTGCTATCATAGAACGTAAATTGGCATTCCCTTCTGAAGTTAAACACAGTCTGTCCCTAACTTAGCAAACCCAAGAGAAATGAGTGCACATATCCACCAAAAGTTACCTACAAAATTTTTTAGTAGCTTCAATCATAAGACTAACTGATGGTCATGTAAGTCAAAACAGTGGTCATCTTGTGGTAGAAGGGATGTTTATTAAGTGGAAAGGGACATGAGGGAAACTTTGAGGCCAGAAATGTTCTATATCTTGACCTGGGTGGTGCTTTATGGGTACATCCATATGTAAAAATTCACTGAGCTGTACATTTAAGATTTGTGCAGTTTAGTTTAATTTTAAACCATAATAAAATGCTTAAAAAATAATTTTGAAAATTATAATAAAAAGTGAAAAGTAATTACAAATTGCCAAAAATATTTAAATTAATGGAATGAAGCCCAACTAATCTTATTACTATCAATTCAAGAAGACATTTGTTTAAATGGGGCTTTTTCAGTTGAGTGTTAACAAAATGCTAACACACATCCCAAAGAGACACGAAGCTAAGAAACTTCGATACATATGGTACCAAAAAAGTGACTTAAAATATTTCCATATTTTAGTAGATAAAACTTATAAAGTTTAAACAACAAATTACTATATAAGGTCTAGGGGACACCTTTTACATAAAATACATAAAATGGAATAATACAATAATAAACTAGGACAACATTTCTCAAACCTATAAGCAAGCCAGAATCAACTGAGGAACTTTTTAAAAATACTTATTCCCAGGCCCCATTCCAGATCTATTGAATCATAAGTCTTTATGGAGTAAAGCTCAAAAATCAATAAAGTGCCTCTGATACAGCTGACTGGTACCTGGGAACCAGTGATCCAGGAGCTTCACTAAGACTTCAAGGTTACAGCAATGAGTTGAACTCAGTTTAACAAATATTCATTAAGCCTCCACTTGCTAGACATTGTAAATACAATGATGAATAAGACACAGTCTTTGCTTAAAAGAACTAACAGTCTAATGGGGAAAAGAGTCATAAAATGGGTTTAATATAATATGGTAAGTTCTAGAGACGTGGACAAGATGTCACTAGAGGCACAGAAGATGGGGACTAGTTAAATCAGGGCAAGCCTTCCTGTGGGGGTGAAACCTGAGTTCAGTTGTACAAGTTACCCAAGCAATGACAGGTGACAACAACACTGCAAACAGAAGGAAGAGCAGGAGTACACAAGAGTAAAAATTGTAGGAGGTATTACAAATCGCCATCAAAAATCTAAAGCTTTCAGTGGAGAGTGAGTAGTGAGAAATAAGGGGCCATATCATGAAGGACATCAAGATGCCATGTTAGAACACTAAGACTTCTTAGGCATTGGAGAGCTACTGAAGCAGGGGGTTAAGATAACAAGATTTTTACTTTAAATAAATTATTGAAGATCTGGTTTGGAGGAGAAAATTAAAGACAGTGATCAGTTAGGCTGAGAGAAGACAAAAGCCAAAATTAGTTTTGGAGCAGAGATCAGTTGAAGAAATAGTTAGAACCAAACCAGTAAGTTTTACTAATTGACTGGAATTTAGGGGGTCACAGAGGAAAGGGTCAAGGATGACTCTCAGATTTTCAGCTTATGTCCCAGACTACTTCATCCTAAGAATAATTTATCATGAGTTGAAGAGCCTCAGGGTACCATCCCTTAGAGGCCTTGCCGATGTTCTATAAAGCTACAAAGTTACCAAAACAACAACAAAATATGAAGGATTACTTCATTTTAAAGGAATACCCCTATCCTATCACCCCAAGAACCTACAAATATTGGGGCAGCAGAAAAAAAGACAAGAACTCAAAAGCAACACCACCCAACTGTTTAAATCAGATATGGTCTAAATTAGTACTTATGTGAGAATTCTAAAATAGGAATAGTGCCTAGGCCTTCAAAAAAGTAAAAGTTGAACTTCATTACCCTTTAATTAGAAAATTAAAAGACCTATCAGTATCATTAAAATGAGGAAAGTCACAAAGGATAAAGCATGCTATTTAACTTGCTAGGTATCATGATTTTGGAAACTAAAGGAGCTCAAATAGAAATGATAAGCTATCAACAGCAAAAACCAGAAACATTAAAAGAATGTTTATTTTTACAGTCTTGCCAACCAAAAAGTGCTAAAGGAAATGACAGAAAGCTCTGTCACTCAGCCTGGTCAATATTATTAACTTCATGTACCTTCTTTCTTTTAATGTTTCAGTTCCATTCAGGACTGAAAAACAGACTATGAATTCCAATAATTATATATCGGAACAAAGTAATTTCATTACTTATTTCTAAATTTATTAATATTAGAAACCGGAAAGCATACAAGCCAGAAAAACAAGAGGCAAAGTTATCAAACACTCATTCATTTTAACTGTTTTTGTTCTCCTGTACCAGAAAATAAGTTTTTCTTATCACTATAAGAGATTCCTCACAACAGAAAATATTAGATAATGAAAAGTATAGTTAAAAATGTGACTATTTTTCCTGGATGTAGACAGACAGCGACAACAAGCTCTAAAAGAACAAGCATCCCCAAGGAAAAGTGAGCAAAGGATAGAAAAATAAAACAATGAACAAATAAGATGTTATTTTTACAAAAGTACCTGATTCGTGAAAATTACTGCCTCATAATCCTTACAATTGGATTGTAGAAAAGAAAACAGTAGTCTTCCAAGAGCTCCAAATCAGATTACAACCTGAAACATGTAACTGGTCGAGTTGCAAGATTGCTCCACTTGGTAATATCTACCAGGTGTGGCTTATGGCTGAACAGAAACTATTACACGTCCTGAGCAACAACCCAGCTGAACGCAATGCTGCTACTCGGTCTTAAGGGTGGCATTTGTAAAATACTTTCATTAGCTAGAGATTCCAACATATTAATCTGTATATTAAATGGTGAGCTCATGACTCAAACTTTGAAGCAACTAGTGGACATACTGGTACTTCAACATTTTTTAAGATTGCTATTTGGTAACTATACTTGAGTGCTGTGACTAACTTCATTAATGATGCAAATTACCACAGCACAGACTTTTTTTTTTTAAAGAAATTATAATTCAATTCTAATAAACCAGACTATGTAAATATTTACAATGTTCAAACTATTCTGGTAGGAATCCACCTTTCCTTTTTTCGCCCTTTCAGGCAACTAAATTTCACCATATATTTTCCTCAGGAAGAAACTCAAGTCACTATGAAAAGAAAGTGATACGGGCCGGCCCTGTGGCTTGGTAGATAAGTGCGTGCGCTGCAATGCTCGTGGCCCAGGTTCGGATCCTGGGCGCACACCGAGGCACCACTTCTCCGTCCATCCTGAGGCCGAGTCCCACATACAGCAACTAGAAGGATGTGTAGCTATGACATACAACTATCTACTGGGGTTTTGGGGGGAAAAAATAAATAAATAAAATCTTAAAAAAAAAAAAAAGAAAAGAAAGTGACAGAAAACTGTAACATCAGAGTGCAGATTTTAGAAAATGATAAAAGTCAGCCAAAATAATTAGCAAGAAATCTAGCCACATGTATATCTCTAAACTTACAGTTTTCTATGAGGCTCCACCTCAGCCAGTGGTCTTATTCCTGCTCCATGAATGTGAAAAATATATTCCCTCTTCCATTTCTCCTGTCTGAAATGTCCCTACAATTTTGCTTACTCTATTTAAATTCAACTCATACTCCAAGGTCAATTTGAATCTCACTCTCCATATAAAATTTTTCCTGGCACCTCAGTTCACAGTAATTTTTCTTTCTCTTCTAACTTCAAAAAAAAGCAAAACCAGTAGAAGAAAACAGCAAGTGGTTTTATAGTCTTGGAATGAGAAAGGCCTTCACAAACAAGAACCATAAGCCAAGTCTGACCACATAAAGATTAAAATTTCTGAAGCCAAAAACAATGTTAAAAGACAAAGCAACCCTGGAAAAAATTAATATAACATATGACTGATAAGTGGCATACAAATTAAATACTTAGGGAGTCAATTCACAAAAGAAAAAAATTCAACGGCTAATGATTAGGAAAATGTGAAATAATGAGGTATATTTTTCATCCTTTGTATTGACAAAATTTTAGAAAGACAGAAGATACCCAATGTTGAGAGGGCACAGGGAAAAGGACACTCTCCTACATTACTGGTATGCATGAAACTGATACCCCCATCTCTGCAGGCCAATTTGGCAATATCTATTAAAATGTCAAACTCTTTGACCCAGCAGTTTTATTTCTAGTAATACCTACAAAAGTGCTCATTAGTGTGTACAGGTGTCTATACATACAAGGATGTTCCACACAGCACTTTTTTGTAATCACAAAAATACGGCACAACCTAGGGACCAGCCCAGTGGCATAGTGGTTAAGTTCGTGCGCTCCAATTTGGCAGCCCAGGGTTCACTGGTTCAGATCCTGGGCATGGACCTACACACCACTCATCAAGCCATGCTAAGGCGGCGTCCCACATAGAGCAACTAGAAGGATGTACAACTATGACATGCAACTATCTACTGGGGCTTTGGGCAGAAAAAAGGAAAAAAGGAGGAAGATCGGCAACAGACGTTAGCTCAGGGCCAATCTTCCTCAAAAAAAAAAAAAAAACTTTACATCAAAAAAAAAAAAAAAATACAGCACAACCTAAATGTCCACGTAGAGAAAGGGGAACGATCAAATAAAGTATAACATATCCATAGTATAGACTATTTCCAAGCCACTGCAACTTTAAAAGAAAAAAAAAGAAGGGAAAAAAGGAGGTAGATCTAAACCTGCATATGGCTACCCACACACAGTGCTGAGTGAAAAAAGCAAATTACATAGGCAAAATCTACAGTGGGGGGAAAAATCTTTAACACTGGTTTCGAGGAGGGGAGGATAAAGATAGACTAGGAAAGGGCATAAGGGAACTTTCTGAGGTGCTGATAAAGAGCTTTACCTTGAGTTTGAGATACACAGATTATGAATTTGTCAAAACTTGGCAAACGTATACTTAAGATTGATGAGTTTCATGATATGTAAATTAACCTTTAAAAAGCCCTGTAAACCAATATTGAAGCCTAGTTAATGACAAGTATCCTCAAGTACTGGGGAGAGGAGAGAGGAAGTGTACTGCTTGTACTGATGTCTGCAATTTACTTTGAAATAGATCCAAAAAAAAAAAGTGGATTGATGGATGGACAGAGAGATGGATGAGGAGGTAATGAAGTTCAGTAAAACATCAGTTGTAGAATCTAGGTGGTAGGAATTCAGACGTCACACTATAAAATTCTTTCAACTCTTCTGTTTACAATTTTCCATAATATCACGTTGGAGGAGAAAGCAAGTTATAGAAAAGTTTGTATAACATGATTCTTTTTCTGTTAGAAAGAAATATACATATAAGTAACTTCTGTATACGTACAGGAGAAAAGGTATGGAAGAAAACACATCCACCAAACTGTTAACAGTGGCTATCACTGGGCTGAGGAAGGAAAGAGTAGTGAGAAGAAAGGCTTTCACATTTTATGTACGTATTTATATGTTCTTTTAAGTTTATTAATAAACATATGTACTTCTAAATTCCTTTCAACCGACTGAAAAATAAAGGTAGCCTAAGGGGGCTGATTAGGCACTAGAACCTTACAAACAAAATGTTTAATTTAAGCCTTTCTTTATCATTATGTATTATCCTTATACTAAATGCTTTGAAAATTAATATTTGTTAAAATGCAGTGCAGAAACATCAGCTGTAAAGCCATATAAGATTTATAATTCAGAAAGATGTTTCTGAAACTCATATTACTTATAAATTATTTTTCTCTATGGAAAAACCCTTATTTAAGAAAATGTTTAAAATTTAATATGAAAAATTTTAAGTAAACATAAAGTAACTACAATTATTCTTTTGCAAATGAGCAATTGTTAAATGCATCTAAACATAAGACTTTAAGGATACTATGTCACATAAGTCAGAAACATATTCCCATGTAAAATTAATGCAGACTTACCACTTGCAAATTCACTGAGATGTGTTGTAATTTTTCTGGTACTTGCATTTAGAGGTTTTATCTTGATTCATTCTTTTTTTTATTACATCCCAACAAATGGATCTCTTCTCAATAACAGTTCTCCATGAGAATCTATTAACGGTTTAACAAATAATGATTCGTCACAAAGATAAAAACTGTAAGCAGCTGAATATTCTAACTGTGAAAATGTCAACTACAAAAGTTTAAATTCAGAAATAAGATGATTCAGCTCTACCCAATTCTGTACTTTCATATCCCACTCCATCCCCCCAAAATCTGCATTTGATTACCATTACACAGGAAAGTTCTCTCTTTTGAAACCACCCAGTTTCCATAAAATCAAGTTAGCATTATGTGTCCAGCATTTGGGCCTCATCAAACTTCCTGACCACAAATCACAAAACGACAATAGATTCTGAGGTCAGTGATGTGACAAAACGCAATGTAATATCTATCAAGGTGTGAGGCTAGAAGACCTAATCACAATTGATAAATATAAGATAAAGAATTTAAAATAGAAGCAAGTTTTAGTTTAAAATGTTTTAAGGAAAAAAGTTATCCTCCTGTAATGAAACCATTAAGAGAATCAATCATAAGTTAGTTTCTACAGTTCAAGCTTAAACAGCAATAGTGTAAAGAGTTCTAGAGAACATATACCGATTCACTATTTCATGAAGTCAATCAACATCTATTGACTACATCCTATGCCTCGGCACTAGGTATAGATAAAAAAGAGGTGGGCCCTATCCTCAATAGACACAGACTAGTAAACAGACAAGATCAATACCATGTAAGACAAGAATGAGGGCAAGGAGGCAAGAATCTGTCTCATACAGAAAGGATATTGGTTCATGGAACTTTTTTCAGTTATGTGAATTATTTATGTATGTACTAGGTTGCAGTAAAAAATGTATTTCTTATGGTAAGTTGCCGTCAGGAAAAGATTTCTGGAGAGAGTGAAATCTGTGAGTTAGCTAGATGAAGAACAGAGGCTCTCCTGAACAAGGGAGCAGAATAAGAAAAGGTATAAAAGCAGGCAGAGGAAATCTAAGTAAACAGAAATGACTGGAGTCATTGCATATGGAACAGGGGAAAACATGTCTAACCTTTGACCACAATCAACCCTAAGAAATATATTTCATAACATTACCAGTACACACAGAAATACATGAGATATATGAGCAATATATGAGTATATATTAAATACGAAACTGAAAAAGTTTAATGAAATGATATTTACCCTTACTAAATGTGATGCACTCTGATACTGTTATTCTAGTTTATTCTATTTCACTTTAATAAAAATATATAATGCTGCTCACAGCCTACTAAACTGATTTCATGACCCACAATTAGAGAATGATCATAGAGTGAAAAACACTGTTAAACCATGCCAATGAGTTTGGACTTCACCTTGAACAGTGGGAAACCATTGAAGGATTTTAGGCAGAAGAATGCCGTGATGAAATCTGCATTTGGAAAGAACAGCAACACTCTGAAGAATGGACTTGGGTGGATGGATCAAGTTCCAAGACTGACTACATGAAATAAGCTAGACTTACTGGTCACCCGGATGAGAAATGAGGACACATAACAAGTATCCCAAAAGTAGCAACTTATAAGGGGAATGGGGAGGGGAAAGGGTGAGGAAGGAATACTTTAGACAGGAGGCACGCTGGAAAAGGGCAGGTTAAGTACTTGATGAGTAAAACTGATAGGACTTGGTGATCAACTGGAAGCAAAGGGCAGATTCTAGGATGGCTCTCAAGTTTTTGGCTTGGGGACTACGTTGTATCCTTCTCCAAGACAGGAAATAAAGGATAAGTTATGAGTTTGTTAAGCATACTGCTTACCATAGCAACAGGAAACTATTACATACTGAAGATGCGAAAAATACATCAAAATCATTACCATTACATTTTCATTCCCTTTACAGACTTTTTAAATAAAACTATATTTTCTCCCAGGGTCAATTTTTCTATGGTCCATGATTGTCAGGATTGTCAAATGTAATTTGTTTCTACTCTAACTTTCCAAGCTAATTTAAAGTGGTCTCCTTGGCTGCTCCTTTGCTTCTTAGGACAAAATATGGAATTGACAAAGTAAAGGAGCTGCTAATCTAATGGCAAATGAAAGATTCATCTTCTTCTAGAAAAAAACCTCAATCAGAATTAAATGTGGTACAACAAATGTTCTGAAACATAGCCAAAGTCAATAATGCTGCTAAGGCTACGACTCTGGTGGCTTCCTAATGTTTTAGCAAAACAGTAGTTTCTGTTGGGAACATTATTAGGTAATAGCACAGGTCAACAATCCATGAGTCAAACCCCAGTCACTCACTGGCTGAAAATCAAGGAAAAATCCTACTTTACACTTACTGTTTTTAGAGCTACACTGCAGCCATAGCATCCAGAATGAGATGAACATTTCATCTAGTTCAACAACATCACCACCATTGTGGAATGAAATATTACCTATGTGGTATAAAAACAACACAGGGCTTAAAAATGCAAGAAATTATGGGATAAGGAAGAATATCCCAAAGTTTCATAACTATAAAATGTCATTAACTATTTTTAACACTGCTATGTTTAAAAGAATACAATCAACAAGTTACAAGGCGGCATTACATAATGATCAAGGGAACAATCCAACAAGAGGATATAACACTTGTAAATATCTACCCAGCCAATGTAGGTGCACCTAAATATATAAAGCAATTATTAACAGACATAAAAACAGAAATAGACAGTAACACAATAATAGTAGGGGACTTTAACACTCCACTTACACCAACGGATAGATCATCCAAACAGAAGATCAATAAGGAAACATTGGCCTTAAATGACACACTAGAACAGATGGACCTAGTAGATATATACAGAGCATTCCATCCAAAAACCGAAGAATACATGTTCTTTTCAAATGCACATGGAACA